ACCTCCTTGAGTCACCTCTCTCCAGTGTGTGGTTACTCAGCTCTGATAAGCTGACCCCAGGGTGGGATTCCGGTGAGACAGATTGGCTGACTTTTAATCTAACAACTGAGTCCTGTGATAGCCATACCTTTCTGAGTTTGTTCGAATTTTATTTCATCATTGCTTGTAAATGTTTTGTCCTCCATTAAAATTAATCAGCAAACTGCATTCTGGTTCCCTGAAGTAATTAACATGAACTGTTTCATAGCTGGAGAAAGGAGACCCTGAAGGATAGAAAGGGTTGGCCACAGGGGGAGGGGCATGAGCGCTCCCCTTTCTTCTTGCGGACTTCACAGACAATTCTGAACGCAGCAACACTGATGTCGCAGTGGCTGCTGGTGGCGTAAAGTGTGTTTCAGTGTGCCCTGCAGCCCGGTGAGAGCAACTTCTAAGCAACAGAGGACTGGTGCTAGACGGGCATTGTGACCAGAGCTACGGTGTGGCTCGCCAGCACCGTGCCAGCATGTCACCTGCTGGGAGATCCTAAGGATGGAGTCCTGTGCTGGGCTCAGGGGTGGGGCCTGCTGGGGTCTGGTCGTGTGTGCAGCTCCTTCGTGACCGTTGATATGGGTGAGCTCCTGAAGTGAGCGCTGGTTCCTGCACAGCACGGATGATGAAAGGATCAGAGCTGGAGGATGCTGCTGTAAAACCGCTGATTCTCAGTCTTTAGGAGCCGCCTCGGCTTATACCTCCCAGTCCTCGGGCGAGCCTCAAGGACCAGGAAACTCAGACCCATTTCTCAAGTCAGTCTCTGCTGCAGTTCCTTTGTGTCTCTCTTTTCAATTTGTACTTAAAGAAGCACAGAAGCTGTCTCAGGCTACAATAATGCATGGCACTCTGAGATTAGTTCATTTTAGGAATTGCTTTAAGAACCAAGATTCTTTTACATCATTGGAGAACTCTCTTTGAGCCCGAACTGACTATAGGAATGGACTTTTTTAGGTGTCCTTTTAGGTTAAGAATTCTAGTGCCTGCATTTGTGATTTATACGGCATCCAGACCTTGCTCTGTGCATGTGTGCATGTATTTCAAAAAATGTGGGTTCTGCCAGGCATTTGCTGTAGGCTTCACCCTCTATCCGTTTGTTTGTTTGTTTGTTTATTTGTAGTCTTGCTGTGCAGCCCAGGCTGGCCCTGAACTCGAAATCGTCCAGCATCAGCTTCTGCCTGCTAGGGTTGTGAGCTTGCGTCATGGTGCCCAGCTTCTCCCATCTCCCCATACTCTGTATCCACGGCCTCCTCTTTCCAGTCCCATCCCCTCCTGCAGCCACGGCTGCTCTCCCGAATGGCAGTGGTGCTGCATGTCAGTGTCCTGGGAGGCGTGCAGCACCTGCACACAGCCCACGGCTGTGTGCGGCCTGATTTCTCTGCACAGCCCCTCTGGCCCCAGGCCCTGTATCCTTTGTCTTCACCTGCTCTCGCCATCCCCTCCTTCCCTCTGCTCCAGTTTTCCTGAACACTCCTGCTGCCCTGGGCCCCTGCTGGCTCCTACACGAGTGCCTATGCTCTGCGGGCCCTGGGCCCCTTCTGGAACGAGACGCCACGCTCCTGAGCCTGGGGCCCTGTGCTTGTTTCTGAGGAAGGTGGCACAGTTGCCACTGCCTGAGTAGTGCTGGCCTCTGGGAAGCAGCTCAGATGCACATCCCGGGAGCCCCTGCTGCTGGATCCTAGCCCGCTTACTGTGGCAGAGTCCAGCCGGCCCCAACCGCTCTCTGGCCTTGGGCTTGTGTCTGTGTCACTGCACGCTAGGTGGACAGGTCCACCCAAAAAGTCCCCACACTGCCGCAGGGCAGTGTCATCACCAAGACCCTGAGCACCAGCCTGAGACCGCTGGCCCATGGTGGGCCACGTCCCCACAGGTAGGCGGGAATCAGGATGTGGGAGATGAGATGTGGCAACCACGTCCTCTTTATGCAGGTTGTGAACTAATTTCATACCTGGAGAGGGCAGCACAGCTCCCTGAAGTCGTTTGTGTGCCTCAGGGGAGACCCATCCTCTGCCTGCGATGCCAATCCCTGTGTAGTTCCCTCCATGTGTTAGCTGCTCTTCCCACAGCCAGGAGGTGACCTCCGGGGCAGGGGCTGTCCGAGCAGCAGGGTCACCCTTGGTTTAAAACTGGAACCCCCTCCAGCGTAGCCACGGTTAATCCTACCTGGGAGTCCCTGCTCCGTAAAGCCGGTGCTTTCCTGCCCCCGTGGCAGCTGTGCCAGTTTGGGACAGCCTGCATGGGACCTGGCCCTCCCAGAGGCGCCTGAAGGTAGATGAAGGGGCCAGGATGGCCTGTGGCCTCCTGCTGCCACCTCAGAGTCTGTCTGCAATCCCAGCCCAGCCATGACTCTTCCACCTCCTTCACACTGTGCTTCAGGAACGCTAAAATAATCATCTCACCTCAGTCTCTGTGCAGCTTGAAGTAAACGAGAGGGAAAGGTTTTCTCTCCAGGCCCAAAGAAGTGGGTAATCACCTCAGGCAGTGCGGGGTCAATGTGCAGTGAGCCGGCCATGCTTGGTGACCCTGCAGCTCTTGGAGAAGAGTCCGCAGAGGAGGGGGTTCGGGATCGGCCAGTGAGCCAGGCCCCAGCCGAACTCCAGCCCACGCCACGCCGCCTGTCCGCACGTGGGCTGGGGGGTTGTAACACAGTACCTGAGACTGGGTAAGCTGTGAGCGACAGGAAGGTGTTGCTGGTAGCTGTGGGGCCTGGAAGGCCAGGATTAGGGTGCTGCCTGCTTCCGGGCCGACTTGCAGAGTGTCCTGTTCATGGACAGTGCCATGCAGGGAGCCCGCTGGGGAGGAGGCTGAAGAGCCTCCCCCCTGTCATGGGGTCCTGTTCATGAGGGAGGCGCCCGTGTAGTGCAGTCACCCCCTGAAAGCCCCCCACACACACCCTCACTGTGGTTCCGGGGTATTGGTCTCGAGGACTCCCTTTGAATGTTCAAGACTGAACCATGGCAGACTTCCAGACGGCGGAGGTGTTTCTCACATCTGTGTCCTGCTCCCCATGGGCTGCGCTGGGAACCCACAGGCCCATCTGCAGACACAGCCCCCAGGGCCCCTCAGCTGGGACCCCAGCTTGGGTCCCCTAAGTGGCAGAACCCCTCAACTCCCAGTCACAGTTTGCCAGATCGCAGCAACGCGCAGGACTTGAGATTTGTTCCAGTGACGCCGAAGCGTCGGACCACAGCCAATCTTAACGTCTTCTAGGTGTGCATTTACCTGGGAGTGTGAGGAGTTTTGGAAGGACGTTTGCTGGACTGCTGAGCCCTGAGTGGGCTCAGGGCATCCACTCAGGGAGACCTCATTCAGAAACCTCGTAGTCCTGGTGCCAGGTCCTGGACACATACACTCACGGCCTTCTTTAGAACAGGTGGAGGTGGACCAAGTCCATCATGAGAGGACACAGGGACACAGTGGGGTGTTCCTTACACGACACATGGTGGCCTTGCTTCTTGTCTGGGTGTGTCTGCCCCCGCCCGGGTCTGTATCCCTGTCCAGGAGTGGTACCTACACAGAGGTCCTCGGGTGCCTCTGCCCTCCCTGAGGACAGCAGGCCTGTAGCCGACAGGGTGCAGGGGCCCCTGCTTCTCTAGCATGGGCTGCATGCATCCACTCCTGCCACTCATGTCGGCGGCGACCCTGGTCCCCCAGGGAGGGTGTTTGCAGCCAGCCCCCCTTGAGTTGCGCTCTGCTCGCTTCCAGCTGGCTCAGATTTTCTGTGTGGCTGGCGTCCCTTCCTTCCTGCACAGTGCTGGCTTAGCCAGGGCTCCGGCTCCTTCTGGAGATAAGCACGGAAGTGTGGGTCACAGTCGCGATGGTGCTCTGCTTCCTTTGCATCGCTGTGGCCTTGGTCAGCAGGAACTGAGCTGAGCCCTGCATGACCAGGCGGAATGCAGGCTGTGACAGTCACATACATCAGCCTTCCTGTAGTCCTTCCAGATGGCTGTGTCACTGTCCCGAGCTGTTGCTGCAACCCCCAAACCCAGCACCCTGTCCCTGCACTCTGTGACGGCCCCAGGGAGCCAGGAGTCTGAGAAGCTCCTGGGGCCTGGGCGGTGTTCCCTGCCCTGCATGAAGAGCAGAACTGAACACTGGCCATGAGCTCGGCCAGGGAGGTGGCGGCCAAGGGGATCTGGGGTCCCAGAGCCCTTCCTGTGCCCTTCCCTGGGCACTTGGCTGGGTGGCTGCAGAGACAGTGACTCTGCCCTGGCTCCTGGGAGTAGGGACCCTATCCAGTGCCCACCCGAGCAGCTGCTGTCTTGTCACCCGTGTGCGGCTCTGCAGCACAGCCCCACAGAAACACGCCCAGAGTCTGGGGTCAGGAGTCCTGGGGTTGACCAGGCTGAGCTTGGTGTCACCATTGCTCTGCGGTGTCAGGTGTCCAGTACTGGCCGCTCAGTCAGGAGAGGCCCAATTGCTCATTACACTCTTCATGTGTGTCACAGGGACACTCTGGTCACTCAAGTCAGGGACACTCTGTGGAAGGCTGCTCAAGCTGGGCCATCTCAGGCTTTCTTGGGATATTTGCATTGGGCTCATGGGTGCCCAGAGCCCCTGAGGGACAAGGCTGCTGGGCATGTGGTCCTTCTGAGGAGACACACATTACCAGGGTGCCGACTGTGCCAGCTCTCCCTGTCCTCAGGCCACAGTCACAGCACAGGGCGTGGCACCTTCAGCCCCATCCTAACCCCGTAGAGGGTCCTGCACTGTCCCAGTTACCTGGACCTGCCTGGCCCCCAGGGTGCAGGAAGGGCTCAGCCATCTCCAAGCCCCATAGGACGCCAAGCCAGTGGTGGGGACTCGGGGCGGGGACATGAGCCATCGCACCTGGTGCAGGCTAGGCAGGTAGCAGAGGCCGGGCACCAGGAGTACACTGTGGCGACATTTGGGGCATGGTTTCTCCAAAGTAAGAGCCACTAGAAAACTGGGGAGCTGGGCATGTGGCTCACAGCATTCCGTTCTCTCCACAGCACATGAAGCTGGCGGCCGAGAGCTTGAAGGAGGAGCCACGGGGAGGCAAGACCGAGACGGGGGCCTGAGACGGGGGCCTGAGCCGGATGCCCGCGCCCTGCCTGTGTTGCTGCTGCCTGGGGACCTGGGCCTCAGCCCTCAGGGTCGCTGCTGGTCCTGCACCCAAAACTTCCTCCCCAGTCCCCTCTGACACTGCCTTATGATGCATCAACAGAAGCTGCTGTCACTGAGCTATTAAAGGCCAACACCTCTGTCTAGTGCTTCCCTGCCTAGCCTGCTCTGTGCGGGGGTGAACCCAGGGTCAGATCACTGAAGACGGAGCAGTGGCTGGTAGCACAAGTGGTGCCACCCAGCTCAAGAAGGCTGAGGGAGGAGGGTCACAAGTTGGAGCCCATCCTAGGCAACTTATCAAGACCCTGTCTGCAATACAGTAACGGTAGAGTGGGGAGACAGGAAGCACAGGGCAGGGACCCTGGGAAGCTGCAAGTGCTGCCCCTGTGAAGGGGCTGCCTTCCCAGCAGTGCCAGCCACCACCCAGCCCCATCCTGTGCAGGGCTTAGCAGCTGTGTGGACGCCGAGCTGCTGCCCAGGATGTGGCTGCTGGATCCAGAAGGGTTAGCCCAGCTACCGGGGAGGACGGAGAGACGGCAGGGAGGTGGGGCCTCTCCCAGCCAGGTAGCCCTGCCCCTGCCCACTGTACTCCCCAACCAGGGCCCTCATGGCACCCCATGCTATGCAGGGGCCACTGGGTTCTGAAGTGTCGGGGGGGGGGCCACCCTCGTCTCCCAGCCTGCTGCAAGATGCTGGGAAGGGACAGAGTCAGGCTGGCCCTGGGGACCAGTCCTGGGGATACCGTGGGCTGTGAGGGGTGGGCAGGTCGTGGGCACCATGGGTTCCTCAGCCATCTGTTGTCCCAGCTCACCCTGGCCTTGCTGGCCACATCAGGCCAGGACTTGGGTCGGCGAAGGGGGTATCTTGGTCAGCCAGACGTGTGGCCCCACACACCAGGCAGGTGGCTTCCAATGTGTGGCTGTGCTCAGGAAGCATGGCGCACTTGGCAGGGGAGGGACAGGAACTGCTGGGCGTTTGCCACTTATGAACTGGATCCCTGACTGATTGTAGAGCCAGGATGCTGCCCTACACATGGCCAGGGCTCCAGCCGGAACCTTTCCTCACCAGCCACACTGCACTCCCGCCAGACCCCACCCCCAGCCGGGGTCCTGGCCACCAACCCCCCTCTGGCCTGCCGGGAGGAGGGGACACTGCTCCCCAACTCTGGCTGAGACGCCCACAGAGCAGCCAAGGATGGGACTCGCCACCAGTGGGGAGCTTGGCCCCTGGCCTGGGGCTGTCACCAAGGACAGCGGGAGGGATGTTACTTGGGGCTGGCTACGGGGAAGTATCTGCTCACCCAGGTCCCTGTGTGTCATGCAGCTTCACCCGGGGCCACCTGCTGAGTCGCTGGACAGGACAGTGTCCCCACAAAAGCACCACAGTGGCTGGGCTGGGCATGCCTCCCCCAGGGGCACTACAGAGACTGCTGTCTCCGTCCCTGTCCCCCACACCTCCAGCCAAGAGGGACAGATGGTCACCAGGTCCCACAGGTGGCCAGGGCAAGCCACTGCCTCAACCCTTCACACACACAGTACTTGTCCCCCACACCTGTGAGTGCACCAAGGCCCAGTCCTGAGGGGCGGGGAAAACAGGACCTGAGGGCTCCGGTGAGCAGCAGCTCCCGCTGCTTCCCAAGGAGCCCCACAGGGAGGACGAGGACAGGGCCTCAGGCTGGGAAGGTCCAGGCGGCCTCGCATGTCACAGCACAGCCCCAGGGAGGTCTTTCTCTGAGCCTGAGGGTGGCCTGAGCAGCAGACCTGATGGCACTGCAGGATGGTTCAGGTCCCTGCTGTCTCAGGTGGCTGTGCTCAGGAGTCTCCTCTACCTGGGCTCTGGAGAGGAACCTGGGGGGTGGTGCATGGCTGCTGTCCACTCTTGGAGGGTGGGTGACCACTAGGAAACCCGAGAGCTGGCCAAGTCCAAATGGCACCGCCACAGGGCGCACCTGCTGAGCCACCGGCAAGGAGGTCCCTGGAGTCAGAGGACCTGGCATGGAGAGGAAGTGAACAGTAACGGGGGGGGGGGGGGGCACCGCAAGACCCCGGCGTCTCATGCCGAGCAGAGCCTGTGACTGCGATTTCTGCTTCCAGCCACGATGTTGGGGAACCACGGTTAGCCCTCGTGCTGGAAAACCAAACACACAAAGCAACAGCCCACAGGCACTGGACCTGGCTTGACTACACAGGTCAGTGCTCAGCACTGAAGTTTACAGTCAGCCTTGAGCTTTCCTCCCAGTGCATCTTTCACACGTGAATAAAAACGTCTTTTTCCAGCAAGGAAAGCTGGCGGGGGTGCGGCCCATGGACCTGCGCTGGGCCATGGGGCAGGGTGTTCTAGAGGTGGGGAAAACGCCCAGATTGGGGTTTGCACCAAACATGAAGGGTGCTGGAAATCATAACTACATAGGTGACATGCTTTCCCCTCATGCTCAGTGCTCTCAGACTGCTTTCACAGACCTATACAGGCATAGAGATAAAATGGCGCTCACAGGGAACAGAGGAAGTGTGCAGCTGCAGAAGGCACTGCAGACCTGAGACCACACCGAGAAGGTCGGTGAGACCCTACAGCAGCTCCTGGCAAAGGCGCACCCAGAAGCCCGCAGCAGAGAGTAAACGGAATAAAAAGGGCAGTAGGTACGGTGGTGTACCCCTGTATGTCCAGCACTCTGGGAGCTCACACATTTGAGCCCACCTGTGCAACTTACCAACTTAGGGAGACTGTTTTCAAACAGTAAAATGGGGCCTGGGTTCAATCCTGTGTCAGTGGGGAAAAAAAGTGATCAGTGAAGCTAAGAAAAATAGGAAAGCAGGATAAAAAACCCAAGACCAGAAGAGACACTCGGAAAACAGCCAGAGAGGGGCAGGTTTAAGTCAAAGGATTACGCTCCATGGAACGGGTTTCATCCCCCCTCCCACACCCAGGGAAGGCGAGTTGGCCAAGGAAGCAAACCTCAGCTGACGCCAGGCTGTCTAACGTCACAGAGAGGTTAACGATCAGGACAGAGAAGATGCTCCCGGCAGAGAGGAAGGTGGGCGCCGTCAGGGTTCCACGGACCAGGCTGGGGTGCTGCCTGCGCAGGTGCCAGGACCTAAAACTGGGGAAATGAAGAGACAGAGCCGCACACCAGGTGTGATGGGAAACAGTGTTAAACTTTAAAAGCCGTACTGCCGGGAATGCCTGGGCTTCCAGCGCGCTCTGCCCCTGTCCCCGCCGCTCTGCAGCCACTCTAGGGCCCTCTCCTCCAGCCTCGCTGCCTCCACGTCCTGAAAGCATTCAGAATGCTGAGGACCCTTGGTGGTCCTTTCAGCTTCAGAGGGGTCGGAAGTCGCGCACAGCCAGAGCCTGTGTGTCAGGCAGCTGGGGACCAGCATGATGACGACCCTGCTGCTTTCCTACAGGATGACACAGGGTCTGTGATCAGAGAGAAGGGACCCCAGAGCTGCTGCAGAAAGTGGCCGGAACGATGGGTGAGGCTTGCGGGGCACCCTGAGGGAGATTACTGTGACAAGGGCCGAGTTCGTCAGCCCTGGCAGGTAGCTTAGTGTTCCCCCTTGAGCTGCTACAGTGAGACCAAGCAGACACGGAACTCAGACCCCCAGCCCTACTTGAGCTGATGCACGGAGATCGCCCAGTAGCATCTTCCTGTACCCACACACTCCCTACACAGGCCACACACTGCCCCGGGAAACAGGCTTTTAAACCTAGCAAGACTAGAATCAGCAGGTGTGGGGCACACACCTGTACTACCAGCACTCTGGAGGCTGAGTCAGGCGATCGCCACAAGTTCGAGGCCAGCCTAAACTACACAGGAAAACTCTGCCAAAACACACAGAAAGGAATCGTAGAAAGCATGTTCTGACTAAAACAGAATTTCAGAAACCAGTAACAGAAACTCAAAATGATCCCCAAATACTTGTAAATTAAATATGTCGAAGTGTATTTTTTACTTTTTTCCAATTTTTACTTTTTGTCAGTACATTTGCAGTTTATCCCTTAAAAGGGCCACGAGAGTAGAGACCTTGTGACCACTGACCTGCTCCTGAGCACCACGGACTGATTTTGGGGGAGACAATCCCGAGGGTGGGTGGGAGGGGACTGGACTGTCACAGGGAGCATGAGGCGTTGCCCACCTGACAGGAGGCGGAGTGGGAGTGGGGCAGGGAGGGGGGAGTACGTGGTTCCGATGCAGGGGCCCAGGGCGGGGTCCCTGCTCTCTTAGGGAACACACACAGCTGTCCAGTGACCACAGCGTTCTGGCCAAGAGTGGTGGCCATGGAGACATTGCGGAGGGGCCTGGACATCAGGATGGGAGAGAGCAGGCTGACACCAGGGCTGTGGCTGGCACGGAACCTGCAAGCATCTGGTGTCACCATTCTCAGAACGGAGTGGCTGTAGAGGAAGACCAGGAATGAGTAGTCAGTGGGCACCCAGGAAGTCAGACAGGTGCAATGGGTGTTTCTGGGGCAGAGCCAGGGGGAGTGTTCCGGGGTTCCACCTGCACAGATGTGCGGGTGAGGTGGAGGGACCAGGAGAGAACCTGGGGTCACCCACGTTCCCAGGCTGGGGATGGGGATGGGGCTGAAGAGCAGCAAGGTGGCTGTGAGGTGGGAAGGACAGTTTCTATGCAGACCTCGAAGTAGACTCCCCCAGGGCTCTGACGGGGGCTCTGCCTGCCAGAGGAAAGTCTGGCAGAGCAGAGGACAGACGATCAGGAGAAAGGGCAGAGGAACTGCAGCCAGACCCGCACAGTCTCCAGACGGAGGGCCGGGCTGAGTGGCAGAGCCAGCTTGTGCTGGCCATCAGAGGACAATGAGCATGCGGGGTGGGTCCCCCAGCCCTGAGACAGAACCAGATGGACGGACCCCAGCTGGGATCCCGACCTGGATGCCACCAGCTTGGAGCCATCTGCCGGGCTGGGCGGGACCGAGAACACAGACACAGGACACGGCACATATTGCTGAACACCAATGTCACTTTATTATCTGGATTATTTTCCCATTTGTCACAGACCTGTCAATGTTTATACAATGAGGAAAATCGACCGGAACTGTAAGTGGCTGAGAACCGTATGCCCTGGGAACACGCATGGCACTCGAGGGGCCCTGAGGCTCAGGCCAGCTGCACAGCTATTCTTAAGAGTTGGTGTCAGGATTGTCACATCTTTAAATACATACAGAATTGCCGGAAGTACATAATTTTATATATATATATATATATATATATATATATACACACATACAGAAAAATACAAGACTTTTCCACAATATTTAATTTATGCACTATTGTAACTATGGAACTTCTGGAGACAGAGGTTAGGGTGCAGGTGACCCTAGAGCAGGTCATGGGTTTGGTCCGAGTGTCTCTGTGGAATGGTGTTCCGCTCCCTCCCTCAGGACAACACAGGACAACACGTGACACATGCAGTCACTCACGGACGGACGGGTGGGCCTGGGGCCGACCAAGCACACGGACTACTAAGGCTATGACACAGCTCTGCAGCACACGCTGTCCTGGGTGAGCACCATATGTACACTGGAACAAAACCCTTGGGCACCCACGCAGGGTCAGTAAAAGGCGCCATCCGAGGCTGTCTGCACTCACGGGGAAGTATTTACAGGACTTGGGAAACAGCTGTGACAAAGAGTTTATTGCCAACGCCCTTCAGAAACTTCTCTCCTACATCTAACACAGATGTTCCACTCGCTGGCACGTAAACCCCATATCCTGCTTCTGGCCCCTTAGGAGATCCCTGCTCAAGAATTTCAAGCAAACATGCCCTATGGCTTCCCGCACACCTGAAGTCTCATAGCTTTCAGCATAAACGTCACAGGGACTGAAGCTTAGGAGACCTGGCCGGCCCAGCAGTGAGCAAGCAGGGCTGCACTCGGTGGGGTGGGTGTGGGCTTCACCACAGGGGCAGGCTTGGCCTGCCCTGAGCTGAGCTGGCACTCAGAGCCGGGATGAGCTGGAGGGTGAGGGAAGGGCCCACTTCAAAGGCTGCTGGACACTGCTTTTAAGATGGGCCACAGCTCCTCGCAAATCCCAGTCCGCGCTACAGCACACCCTACATGTGAAGGCCGCGGAGCCGGTCATCCGCACGGTTTGCACTGCACAGTTCAAGCAGGAGTCCTCTGATTGTTCGCTGGCAGGAAGGCAAAACAAAGATGCAGGACAGCTGCAGAGCAGGCTGTGCGCACGGCTGCTGTGACTCTTACCTTTCCAGTGTGTGTTTTGATGGCCAGTTTTCACAGCTAGCTGAGCGAGGGTGGAATGGAGGAGATACAAAAAGACTAGCTAACTAGCGCTGCTGAGAAACAAGTCCAGGCATCTGCGTCACATCCACGGGGCTTCCGCCCACAGGCAACCCTGCCGCCTCCTCCATCTGCCAGGCTGGGAGGACGCTTGTGATGAGCCCCACCACCGGGTCGCGCAGGAGCTGCCCATAGGGCAGCCAATGCTCTGCTGCATGGATGCTGCACAGACGGATGGACAGGCGACGCTCTGTCGGGAGAGTCCAGATCAGGATTCATTTCATCATGGCTCAGGACTGTCTGCAAGGGGAGCTGCCTTAGGGACCCACGTCCTCCACCTCGCCTACGGGGAGCACGGAGACTTGCTCCGGTCCTCGTGAGTCCCAGCCTCGCCTGACTCTCCAGTTGGCAGCTTAGGCTTCTCTGCGTGCTCGCTTGCTGTCCTTAGCTCCCCCAGGCGGGGGCAGCAGGGCCACCTCGTCGCTGGGCTGGGGCTGGTTGGGGCCGGGCTGGGCCTCTGCGTGTTATTGCTTTGGTTCTGTCTCGGGCACCGCGTGGTGCCTCGGAGCACGGAGTTTCTGGATCACAGAAAGTCGAAACAGGAATTTAGATTTTGCACAAGAAACGAATACATTTTTTTTTTTTCTCTCTCTCTAGGTTAAGTGCAGAAAATCAAATTTCTAAGTGCTCCATTTATCTTAGGTTCCAAATATACATTTTAATTTCATCATGGTTGTCCACATTAAAATATAAATGTAAAAACTACACAGTAGACTTTTTGGCTGGAAAGTAGGGTCTAGCAGCATGCAGAGACCATGCACTGTCACGAGCGGGTGGCGGCCGGCATCAGATGACGTGGCAGCAGCTGGCCGGGCTCGAGGCGCACAGCAGCCCCTCTTTGGGGCTCCGCTGGATGTTCACAGAGATGGTCTTTTCACACAGAGGTAGCTGGAGCACGCTGTTTTTCAGGTTCTTGCTCTTTATCCGGTCCAGTTCGGTGCTGGCCCCGGCCACATGTTCGGAGAAGAACTTGACACTGCCCACGGCTGGGGCCTGGCCTGTACCTGCAGTGGGGCCCACGCTCATCTTCCACGAGGACTTCTCCTGCACTTTCACACTGGACAGTGCCAGCGCCCGCTGCGGGTCAATGATGTACTTGGCACCACTATGCAGCTGGGAGCCCAGGCAGAGGCCCACGAGTTTGAGACTCTCCACGAGCTCCCCGGCGCTGCGGGAGGCCAGCTGCACAGAGCTGGGGGGCCCCAGGGCGCAGCGGCGCGTGGAGCCCGAGGTGCCACCAGGGGCACCGCCCGTGCCCCCTGAGGGGCTGCCCCCGCCCGTGCTCCTGTCACCTGGGCTGGCGTGGTCCGCACCGCCGCTGCCATGGCTGGGCTTGCTCTGACCCCCACCATCCCCCTCACTGCCCGGGGGCCCCTCGCTGCTGTCCCGCCGGTGCCAGGAGTAGGGGAACCCCCCATCCTTGTCGAGGCGCCGCCGGCTCTCCGAGTCATCATCGCTGGTCTCAGAGCTGCTGCAGCTGGAGCCACGGCCCTGGCTTTTCCGCCGGTGGTAGCGCTTGTGCACGGTGCCTGGTGAGGCAATGTTCATCTTCAGCCTGCTCAGCTTGGGGGGCAGATTCTCGTCCATGTCAAATTCGTCGTCAGACTCCCCCTCCTCAAAGATCTGATTGAGGACGGGTGCACTCTTCCTGGACGTCAGGCGGTTGGTCACGGATGGCTTCCGCCGCAGAACCACTTGTGTGGACAGGGACATGGGCTTCTTGTCCTCTTCATCTTCCTCTTCGTCTTCCTCCACCCGGAATAGACACTTCCGCCCGCTGACTGCCGGCTTCAGGCTCGAGGTGGGCCCGGTGGACAGTGTAGGCCCTGCCAGCTCGGGGAGGTCATCCTTCTTGGCTGAGTCACACAGACCTTTGCTCCTGTGGCCATTGAGGACACTGTCGGCGGCCCGAGCAGGAGACTGAGGGACAGTGGCATGGGACAAAGGCGTGGCTGTCAGGTCATCTTCAAGGTCCTGGGGCACATCGATTTTGGTTGGCCATGATTGCCTGTGTGACAAACAGAAATGGAACAGGCCATGGGGTTGCTGCAGATGGAGCTGAAGCCCTAAGAAACTTCCCACCCTAGACCCGCAGATGCAGGTGGAAACCTGGCAGCAGCCTGGCATGCCCATTCCCAGCCTGCATCCCTGGCTGGGGTGCCAAAGGGCACAGGCAGTAGCAGGAGGCCGAAGGCAGCTCACCACAGCCATTGGGAGAAGACTCGAAAGAGAGTGGACTGCTCACGACTGCAAGCACCCAATGCAGTATGATCGAAAAATACTGCTTCTAAAATCCCAGTGAAAGTCACACTGCCAGTCCAGAACCACCCACAGGAGAAGAGTGCGGCTCGGGGGCCACAGGACTTCTGAAAACAGCATCTTTCGAACAGCGCAGCTGTGTCCTCCCAGCCCAGGGGACAGGAGACACCAGAGTCGAGGACGCCAGAGACATCTGAGACCGCCACTCACCAGGGGCATTTCCATTCCGTTTCACACCAACTCTGTCAGCCTAGGGATAAATTCAATCAAATCCACCCCTGAAGCGCACAGGGCTCTGAGGGCAGAACCGCACTTGCAGCATCAGCTTCTCGGAGGTCCAGCTGTCTCCAAAGGTCCCTATCCTTGTCCTCCTCCCAACACCACCCAGAGCCACTGCTCATCAGGCCAGACGCAACAGCCTGGCACTGCCCAGGCCACACGGGCTGGATAGGGCGACTGCTTAGCAGAGGAATGGGGACTGGGAAGCCCCGACACTGGCAGCCCACAGCCTGCATGTCCCTGTGTCACTCACACGAGCCCATGTGTCCAGCAGCCCCACAGCTCATTCTGCAGGTCGGGAAGCTGCATAAGGCCAGAGGCGAAGCGGCCTCCTGGCCTCTTCATCAAGCGACCGGCAGGGTCCCTGCCCTGCTGTAAACCCTGGGGTAGTACCAAGAGCGAGCCGTACTCTCCTGGGGGAAATCTCACTGAGGAGGACACACGACCACGTTGCACTGGGAGAGTTTGATGCCAGGGAGCGGCAAAGCTTGGCTGGACACTGCTTCTCCAGCCCGTGCCCCCAGCCAGGCCCACAGCCCAGGACACAAGCTGGGGACGGGCTGGAGTGGCCTCCCATGGGGCCATGCCCCTGCTGGCCCTCGCCCCCACGGGAAGAGAAGGCGTGCTCTTCCAAAGCGAAATTCCTAGACGTGGGAAGGCACTGCCCTCACTCCCCACCTGAACTGAGCCTTGATGTTGCTCGGGCTGGCCGACCGCGTCTGGATTTCCTTCTCTTGCTTTTCTCTCAGGATCCTTTCGGCAAGCAGGAAGTAGGTGGCTGTGATATGGTTGTACCTGTTGGTTTCCAGGGCTCTGAGGGAAAAAGGAGTGAACATAAGCGACAGGCACGCATACTCTTCACAAGAAGGCTGATCTTTAAGTAGGATAAAGAGTGCAAGTCAGGGACATGCAGTGTTTACAGTCATGCAAAAGAGCAAACAGGAAAAGGCACCTGGTGCCATGTAGGCCTCTACCCAAACCCTAAAAGCTGCTGCTCACGAGGGCTCAAAGCCAGGCAACACACTAACAGCATCTGGGCGCCATGTCAGAGTTAGACGTGCAAAAGCTGGCACTGAACCTCCCAAGGGGGAGCACAGCAGCAGAGGCTGCGTGTGCATGGGAAGGGGCGCTTGGAAAGCGGGCTGTCTGCTTTCAGCACGACAGAGCCAAGACCAGCCGCAGCCCGCGAGTACACAGAGGCGCTGGTGCCAATCAGAAACCCCGGGAAATGTGCCTGCCCTTGGTCTCTCTGCAACTGCTGATACTGCGGGCACCACAGAAGCACGCAGGTGACCAGGACCATGACATCCACTGCTCTTCTGGGTAAAATCCAGGTTTCTATTCCTCTGTCTACCTCGATGCCAGGCATGATACCCTCTGAGGTTTTGGTGGGACCGCCAGGACAGTGCTCTGGAAACCCCCAGAGGCCAAGATACTTCAGGATGGGAGCGGCTCACAGGCCCACTGCCCCAAAGGCATGATGGGGCATCTGTGGGGGAAGGTAGAAGGGGGTGGCAGCACTGCACTGCTGCCACCTCTGGGAACGAGCCCCACCCTTAACCTCAGGGTATGCTCCCTTCCCTCCGTGTCTGGATGCCTGCTTGGTGTGGCTTCTCGTTTCCAAGGCGGGCTCTGTGCACCAGGGTGGGCGTGCACTTGAGGAGGACCTGGCCCTCCTCCAGCACTCGGGCTGTCACCGGCCACAGTCCCGACTCCTGAGCCGTGTTCACAGCAGAGCAACCGTCCCGCTCTCCACTTGGTGCACTCCCATGACAGCTGAGTGCCACACACTTGGAAACCTGACAGATCTGTCTCAAGACCAAAACAAAGAACCTGCTCCCTTTTGCAAGCCCTCCCCTCGCCCAGAGATGACCCTCCTGCACACAGCCCCTCCCCCGTCATGACCCGGCCTGGGAGCTTTCTCCCCCCGTCTGTGAACGTGGTCAGATCCTGAGGTCGGGCCCAGCAGACACAACGAGGATCCTGCGTGGTCCACCTCCTGTCACCTGACTGATTCTTTCAGTGGAATGAAGAACTTCTGGGGTTTGTTCATACACACCCTGAACCTTTAGCCAGGACCTCTTGAAACTTGTCAACAGCAGTTATCTGAGAAATAATTTCTAATTTGATTTTAAAAACCCTGTTTTCAGAAGCTCTGAGTCTGTGCCCTGCATGCTCACTGTGGTCCGACTGTTCAGGTGATTAAAAACTGGCCCTGAGGTGGGTCTGGGTGACAAGTGCCTGCCTGGCACACAAAAGGCCCTGGGCTCAGTCCTCAGCATCAAGAGCTCTGCCCCTGGCTGTGATGAGGAAGCCACAGCACGTAGGCCTGCAGGGCCCAGGGCTGCGCAGGGCTCGGGGCAGAGGGTACCGATTTTAGTTCTGCAGACTTCACCTGCCTGCTCTCCCAGCAGCTGATCACATGCGAGCAGGTGGCCACTGTGGCACCCAATAAAACCTGACTCACAAACCACACGTGTGGCCCCATTTACCATGACTGATTCGGGGCTGGCAAGCAGTGCTGCGCTATTTCCCTGCTCCCATGGAGACTCCGGAAGGAGGAAGACCCAGGGCCCTCCGAGACACGGTCCAGTTGCCCAGTGCACCCCGCAGGTAGCAGGAAAGGCCCTGTGCACGCTGACCCCAGCTGGCAGTGATGTCCCTGTTCACTAGGATAAAACAAGCTCAAAGGCACCAGGCCGGGAGCACTGGGGAGAAATGGTGTGGCCCTTCCACTCCCACTGCATGGGGCAGGAGAGCCCCGGGACACAGTAGCAGCCTGGAGGAACCCTAGCCAGGCCCTACAGTGAGCACTGACGTACTCCACAATGGCGTCTCGGTCTGCGATGTCCCCGAGCACCAGGCGCTGGATGATGCTGTTGTGCTCCTCCTCCGAGAGGTTCTTGTAGGACACCAGGGGGATGTTGTACTTGGTGGCCGGGGACGGGTCCACACCCTGGAGCCAGGCATGGTTCTCGATCTCTTCTAAGGAGGCCCTTCTCTTGGGATCTCTCTGCAGCATCCGGGTGATCAGGCTACAGGGGAAGGAGGGCTGCCGTTACCACCAAGTGCTCAGAGGCCGAGCAGTGACAGACTCACTCACAAACACCCCCACACCCTCCATCTAACCAGGTGCACTAGCGGTGGGAGGGGCTCAGTCAGGCGCAGGGAGCGTTCAGGGCTGTTGCATTTATAGCCCCAGCAACACTGAGAGATGGGACCCCCAAGCAGCCCCCCTGTCCCCAGCCAGTTTGCAGAGTCTGCTCAGTCTGCAGCTGGCGCAGTGCATGCCAGAACCGGAAGCAGTGGCCAGCAGTGAGAAGGCGGCCTGTGAACCCTGAAATGCAAGGCGCTGCCTTTCTAGACGTGGAGTTTATATATAAAAGCGCTGTGCTGACTGAATAAAACAAACAGGGAAAACTCAGCAGGACCCCCAGGGGGTGAGGACAGTGCCAGTCTGGTACCCAACCCTCTCTGCCAGGTACACGGAGAGAAGACAGCTTGCAGGGCAACTGGTGGTGGTGTGGCCACAAGAGCCCTGGTGAAACGCTAGGCCTGGCCCGGAGCGAGATACGAGTGCACGGCCCAGAGCCCCAACAGGAGCCCGCCTGGCTCGGCGGCCCTCAGGTGGACTGCAGACTCAGGTGGGCTCCATTGGGTGGCACCTGGCACTGGTATCTCCGGGGTGCTGCAGGGGACTGGGCTACATACTGTGCGAAGGTTGGCCTGCGTCCCCTCATGAGGGCCCTCAGGTTGGGCTCACTCCAGAGGGCATCAGTGAAATCCCAAGCTCCGGGAGCTCTGCCCCAGAACTGACTTCTCAACCTACAGCGAGCGCTGAGGGCACAGAGCCGGACTGTGGGTCAGGCAGTGCACCCCTCGTGCCACTTCCATGTCACGGGAACTGAGAGCAGCATGGGAATAAAACATAAGCCACGCTACGGACACCGGAGACAGTGCAGGAGAGGAAGATGCTGCCACCTGGAGGCTGGGGAGGCCACGGTACACATCACGGCCATACTTGTATTCTAATGCTCACTGTCCCCCACAACCTCTCTCAAAACAAGAGATACATTACACTCAAAGGCTAAAGGGACCCCTGACCCATGGAGGCCGGGGTTCCCTCAGACGGCCACGCACTGCCTCTACTCACTCTTTGCACTCCTTGGACACGTGGGTGGGCACTGTGTACTTGCAGTCCATGATCATGGTCAGGGTCTCACTGTCGTTGGCCTCCTGGAAGGGTGGCTGCCCACACACCAGCATGAACAGGATCACGCCCAGACTCCAAATGTCTACAACCAAACACGCAGTGTCAGTGCTGCTCAACAGAAGCCCAGACACGTTAAGAACAGCATGAGTGGTTCATGCTGGGTGATCGATCAGAAGCGCCTGGGTCTCCCAGCAGCAATGTCCAGGGAAGACACCCAGAGCTTTGGCATGGCAGGAATGGGATCTGAGGTCCCGTGCAACGAGTTCACGCCAGAGCCACGCAGGCGTTACTGCAGTGAGTGGTCGGTGACTGTTCAGAGACAAAGTCCTTCTGCCCACAGCAAAATCACCATATGGAGAACCCTGGCTGGCTTCCAGGCCAAAGAGCAGCACAGTGCAGCATACGCCAGGGTGAAATGGAGCCTGCAGAGCTCACCAGTGTCTCAAGGGCTCTTCACCCTGATCCTGAGGTGGGACCTAGCACACTATTGCTGAGCCTGTAGGATCCAGCTGACCACCAAGACAAAGACTGCACCTGAACCCTTTCAGACTGCAGACCTCAGCCCCAGGTAAACCAGTCGGAAGGTCCAGGCTCACTCCCTGGAGCAGCTCAGCCCAGCGGCTGGAGCATTGAGAAGAGGCAGCTTTCCTACCAGAAAGCGTCCTGGCAAAGGCTGGACAAACTTGGGCTTGCTCTCGAAGGACCCCAGCCACATGTAGGCTGAGCTGGTCAACAGCTGAGGACCCTGCAGGTCCACCAGGAGCAACACCCACATGACAGTGAGCAAGTCCCGCCTCCGTCACCAGGAGCTGTCAGGGGCGTGGAAAAGGGTGTTACCTGGGAGCAGGGTGGACTGAGATGAAAGAATCTATGACGGACATCACGCTGGCTTCAGTAGCTAACCAGTGTAAACACTCATGCAGCTGGAAATCACCTTTGGAAGCTTGACAGAACCCACAGGACTTACAAGGGACACCTGTGCACACACACACACCTTTCACAGGCCTTTGTGGTCACATCTGTCAATACTCAATGTAAACACCCAAAATAACGTAGGTCCCATGCTGAGAATGAAACTGCTTTAAAAAAATCCTAAAACAAGACAATGAAGGCAGAAACCCAGAGGTCACACACAACGTGGTATTTTATGTGTACATTTTACAAAGGATCCATCAATGGAAGTAAGAGAAGAAGCAGACAGAATAATCCACTACAAGAGCCACCCGTGAACTTGGGAGAGTGTCCTGATCTCCACCCAACAGGCCGGGGGGCCACCTGGCACGCCTGGCTCTGGAACTCGGGTGCTAGGAATGCAGCTGGTGAGAGGGCCAGGCCTGGGAGAAGCGGCAGAAACACTCTCTGAGAAGTTTCCGGTCAGGGCTTCTGACCTCCTAAGGGGGAAAGCTCTGAAGTCCAGGAACCGGAATACAAGTCTACACCACGCAGATGGCTAAGCCGATGCCAGGACTCGTTGCACTTACACTGGAAAGAGCAGCAGCAGCACAGAGAGAAGCTTGGAGCCCTGGCGGCAGTGATCCTCACAGCTGGACAGCTCGGTCACTGAAGCAGAGAATACAACAGTCTGCGCCCATCCTGACATACACCGCTTATCACTGCAGCCCACAAGGTGGAGGGGACCCTTCCTTCCACTGTTCCTGCCTCAGAGCTGCAGGGAGTGCTCCAGCAGCTCCAGGGAGGCTGCTGCTGCCTGGCCCCACCTCGCCGGTGACTGGTTCTGGTCCAGGCACAGTGGCCAGTGATGACGAGCTGTCCTGGACGTCACCAAGGACTCCCTACCACTGAAGGTACAGACAGTACTGAGTTCCAGAGGTGCAAAGCCAGTGTGGGGAGGAAGCAGAAAGAGGACAGGAGATGCCTGAATGGAGATGCCCAAGTGGACAGTGGCCGCTCCTGGAGCTCGGCCGGGCTGTGTACCATCAAAGGAGGACCCTTCCTGTCCTCACTGCACCACAGCACCAGGCATTGCCTGCATTCCCAAACTCACTTTCACAAGATAAAAAGACGCCTGCGCTGCAAACAAAGGGAGGAAAGGGGCACGCTCACCATCCAAGAAAGCACAGCAGGCGCTACTAAGATGTTTGCTCCAAAGCAGCACTTCTTTCTTTTTTTTCTGGTCTGAGACAGGATCACACTATGCAGTCAGGTTTGCCTTGAACTCACAGGGATCCTCCTGCCTCAGCCACCCTGAGTGCTGGGATTACAGGCGTGCCCCACCATGTCCAGCAAAGTCAGGGCAAGCACAAGGACTGGAAAGCACTGAAGCAGGAAGATCAGAAAGGTGGAGAAGCCTCAACTTCCCCCAGTTTCCTTTATAGGACAGCCGTGAGTCCCGAAAGCAGCGTCCAGTACCAGCGGTGGAGCCGACACTCATGCAGCTCTGGTGGAGGCCAGGCTTCCCCAGGAGGCCGAATTGCCAGGGCCTCTGAGGCTTCTGCATGGCTGAGAGCCCTTACCCCACTGCCTGCCACCCCGAGTCCCTCCTCACAAGGCAGAGACAACCACTGTGTGTCCTGTCACCCAGCACTCTAACAACTAAAGACTCCTGCTCCATGGGAGATCTGCGGTTCCGTCCCAGGCATAAGCCTAGAGAACATTCTGGAAGTAGAGAACCATGAGGAACTAGCCGCTTGAGTGAAGCAGGCAGGAATGAAGACTTTGCCTTAGAGTTTGGAAACAAGTCTTCTCGTCAGGTTCAGGATGTTTCCAGCGTCTTGGTTAAATCTAGGTCTGCTGTTTCCCAGGGAAACATTCCCTCCCTCTCCCAGGGTGAGTGAGCGTCTCTAGCTTACCTTCCAAACACTTCTTCCCCAACCCAAGACTCACCCGGTGCCCTCGGTGGCTTCCAGAGCCAAGGCCGTCCACGCGCAGCTTGTTGCCTCGGCCTCAGCTCACACCCCCATCTGTGCTTGCGCTTGGTGACCAGCACTGCCACGCACCCTGTGACATTAAGGAGACAGGGCGGGCCCCATGCCAAGGAGGACTGGTGACGCTACCCAGTGCTTATTGTGCTTGAAGCTCCCAGGAGCCTGGTCCTCCCTGAGGTACCCATGCCCTGCCCTGAGGAGTGGGGCGCACTCGCCAAGGCTGTGACCACCACCTTCTCCTCCATCCAAGTCCTGCAGGTAGAGGACTGCGTGTCCCCCAAGCATTGAGTACCTGATGACTGCAAGGAGCCAGACAGCTCTGCGACCCTGTGGGAGCAGCATCCCCAATTGGTCGCTGAGACAGAGTTTTAGGGTGCAGGGGCAGTGGTGGTCATACTTATCCCTCAAGCCACAAAGGGAGGCGGACAAGGAGACTGAGAGGTGTCTCAGTCCATAGATGAAGGCCGTGGGCATGGCCACAGTCACATGAATCCAACAGGCACACAGGGACTCCTGTGGACTCAGCATGCTTCCTTACACCCCTCCACAAACCTGCCTCTCATACCAGCCAGGGGAGAGAAGCCAGGCTGCACTGTCCTGCAGGCATGGGTAGCTGGGCTGTAGCTTCCCAGAGACCCGGACTCACAGCCATGCTGTGTAATCCCAGCCCATTGCCAGCCTCCCGAGTCTCTGCGCTGTCTCGTGTGACACTGCGGAAACAGGGCCTTAACAGGTGTTCAAAGTGGCACTGTTCAAAGGGAGGACCACCCCCCCAGGGAACATGTTCCCAAGGGGACATGTGACTTTCAAGTTAGTTCCTAGCAGTGAGTTCACATTTCAAACTCCCCGCAAGACTGGGACGAATGCAGTATAATATCACGGGTCTAACTTTGAACTAGAGTAGAGATGTTTAAACTTAGTACCCACTTAGCCTGGTCTCCTGGTCTAGCTGAGTACAGCCGAGTCTGGACGGTGAGCTCTTCAAGTCTGCAGTCGCCAGGCCTGCCCAAAGCTAAAGTGCTCTGCTGTTTCCTTAAGCTGATTTTTAAAATACCGAGTCTTTCTGTAGGACACACACGCAAGCCATGAGACCAGTTAATGGAATCGCTTGCACATGGCCACTCCAAGCTAAGACTGAAGCAGCTTCTCCTTCACCACATGCGACACGAGATGAAGCTTCCTGAGTGCCCATGAGGTGCCTTCCTCAGAGACTGCTGCTGGCCCACGAGTCCTTAGGATGTTGACACTTGTCAGGAAACTGTTTAACATTTCCATTTGCAAGTTAAAGAGAAATAAATTTACAATGATAAATTGAATACCAGCAAAGATTCAGATTCCAAAATACTAGTTCTTAAAATGTTTGTTTTGGTTAATTCTTCTTGCATGACCCCTTAGACGTGTGGTTAAAAGGTATCCATTTATTTTCCCTTATAAAGAAGAGGCATTAATTTTTGGGAGAATTACAATAAACATACAACCACGTAAGGTCACAGTGTTCAAATCTCTCCTTCGTGTGACAGTTTGAACTGCTTTTGTTTTAAATACAACTACACATGTCCTACTCTTATGATTAATACTTTTTCCATGTATGATGTGCAGCGTACCTGAGGCCACTGAGGTTCTCCACCAGCCTGATGAGGGACCCTCGTCCCCCAGCTCCATAACGATCCTTCCTAACAGCCCGTGGGTGATAGAGAGGTTTTAACTTACACTACCTGCCCTGATTCTCCTCTCCTCCAAACTGTAAAGAACAACTCACAGACACTGAAGTTCACCATTTTTAGTGACTCTGTGCAAGTTCTGACAAACATGGTCATGTGAACCACTGCGGTCATAAAGAATCAAAGCCGCTATGGGGCTGGGGATTTAGCTCAGTGGCATAAGAACCTGCCTTGAAAGCAGGCGGTCATGAGTTCGATCCCCAGTACTGATTAAAAAAAAAAGAAAGCCGCTGTACCACCCCACCCATCCCTGTGCCCGCCACTCCTAGCCCGGCCCTGACACTGACCCTGACCCCACGGGTCTCTCCTCTCTGCCACTCTACATCTGCCAGGAGATGGCACCACACAGGTCACAGTCTGGGGCTCTGCTGACACACAAGAGGCTCACATGTTGTGGCCAGGGTCACCTCACCTGCACACTGCTGCCCGCTGGATTCTGTGGCACCCACGTTCCCTAGCTGGCCTCAGCAGTTACA